AGGGAGACCTTGAAAATGTCCTTGTACTGCTTCTTTTGATCTCCATGTAAGTGTTTGCCTTGGGTGAGTTCTAGATAAAATAGCCTTTTGGGCAAACATATTTCTGGCATTCAAACAATGTGACCAGCCAGTCCAAGTTTCACTCTCTACAGTAGGATTTGAATGCTTGGCAGTTTAGCTGGAGAAAGAACCTCAGGGGGCAGCTAGATGGCACAGTGGATAGAGCTCTAGAGTCAGGAGGACTTGAGTTCAAATCTGGTCTCAGATTAGACACTTGACACTAACTATGTGACCCTAGCAAAGTCACTTAACTTCAATCACCTTACCAAAAGAGAAAAAAAAAAAGAGAAAGAACCTTGGTGACCAGTACCTTATCTTGCCAGGTGATCTTCAGAATTTTCCTAAGACAATTCAAATGAAAGCGATTCAGCTTCCTGGCATGGTTCTGGTATACTGTCCAGGTTTCACAGGCCTAAAACAATGAGGTCAGTATAATGGCTTTTTAGACCTTCAGTTTGGTAAGCAGCCTAATACGTCTTCTCTCCCACATTTTTCTTCAGAGCCTCCCAAACACTGAGCTGTGGCAATGCATGTGCCAACCTCATCATCTGTGTGTATATACCTGGAAAGTATACTGTCAGGGTAGGCGAACTTATCCACAGCTTTTGAACAAATAGTATATTGAATACTCAAAATGGACATGAAATTTGAATGTTAAAGATCATACCAAAAAAATTAGAAGAGAACTAGATAAGGTACCTTTTACAGCTATGGGCATGAGTGAATTGTTAAAGCAAACAAGGGGTAGAAGCAATTACAAAAGATAAAATAAATAATTTTGAATTGGAATTGAAAAACTTTTGTATGTGTAACAGCACTAATGAGAGTTGTGGGTTTCTGTCAAAAGAGGAGAATTAGCTACTCCTTCTATCCCACTCCTGCCACAAACCCAGAAATTCCTTTCTTTAGGCCTGATTCTCTCTAGCTGGGCCCTTGACTCACCCTGGGGGGAGGGGTTTCCGTGACCTCCACAGAATGGAAAGAAAAATTGCCTGAGGCTACCGTGGAGCTTCTTTGGGGAAAAAAAAAAAGGCATCCTTAACTTACCAAGTGTCCTTCCTCCAACCCCATTGCTAGCTAGTTTGTACTCTAGGGAACCCAAGACAGTCCAGATTCACCTTATTTTTTTTTGTCTGATTTGGGGGAGTTAGAATAAAATTTAACAATAAAATCATTTTTGGTTTATTTCAAGCCCCAGTCTGGGGAAATTCCAGGGCTTTAGAGTTTCCTTCTGTGTGTGTGTGTGTGTGTGTGTGTGTGTGTGTGTGTGTGCGCGCGTGTGTGTCACACTCAACTGCCTTTTAACAAACAAAATACCTACAGGTTTATAACGCATTGCCTACATTGCCCACTGCAAAATTTTAGCTTTCCCCCTTCCTTCTAAAATAGAGAGAAGAGAGAGTCACAGTAACACAGTTCTTAGGGGATCTAATAGCCTAGTGATGGGAACTTTATCCATTGACAAAGTCCTGCTGATGAGGTAGATACAGTACTCCAGGCAGATGGAGCCAGCAGGATGCAGGATGTGAGATATGAGATAAGATGCAGGATGTGACCAGCCAGAAAAGTGGTCAAAGACTATGCATTGAAGCTCCCCCCACCATGGACTTACCTATGTGCTTTCAGAAAGTACTCCCTTACCTGACATTCCAGAACAACTCTTCCCCTCCCCCTTTCCTGTTCCCTTTGCTTGTCTGTACAGACCAAGTGACATCCAGGAGCAGTCCTCCCCTTCCCCCTGTCCTATTCTCTTTACGTATTTGTATGACAAAGGCACCTCGGGATTACCTGATATCCCAGGCTTTCCAAAGCAGTGCCTGCCCCTCCTCCCATTCCCCCATTCCATCTTGCTGTGTATAGACCAATAACCCCAATAATTTCTCTGCCTCTTAGGAGAAGTTGAGCCGGTCTGCCTCCCATTGTGGAGCAGGGCCCACTCTGCCTCCCTAAGAGGAGCAGGCCCCCCACCATGCTGTGCTTCCCTTAAGGAAAGCAGGGCTCACCACCTATGCTCTCTCCCATGTGGGAACGGGCCCTGTTGGGTGCATCACCCTAATAAATGCCTTTCTTTAACTTGGAGAACAGTCTGAGTGAATTTCTTTCAGGACAGTAGGATCCACACATCTATATTCCATCATTTCAGGTGCACCCTGCACTCATCACTGCTACACAAGAACACAATTAAGCAATTAAGAAAAGGTAGCAGCTGACTGGGAAAAACAGAACAACACAACTTCATATTAAATATTTCTAAATAAAGTCAGATATACGAGTAACAGAACTATGTAAGACCATAATCCATTTGCCAGTAAATAAGTTGTCAAAGGATATGGACAAAGTTTTCAAAAGAATTGCAAAAGATAAACAGTAGTATGGAAAAAGCATTGGTAGGTGTCATTGTTCAGTCATGTCCAACTCTTTGTGGCACCATTTGGGGTTTTCTTGACAAAGACATTGGAGTGGTTTGATATTTACTTCTACTTCTCTAGCTCATTTTTACAGATGAGGCAAACAGGGTTAAGTGACCTGCCCAGGGTCACACAGCTAGTAAACATCTGAGGCTAGATTTGAATTCAGGTCCTCCTTACTCCACACACTGCACTCTAACCACTGCACCACCGAGCTGCCCTAAATCATTACCAAGATAATGGCAAACCAAAACAACTCCAAAGTTTCACTTCACACTTAGCAAGTTGGAAAAGATGACAAAAGATGCCAATAGTTAATGTTAGGGAAATTAGCATTGTCTCCAGTCTACTCACCATCATGGTCACTCTCCACCAGACCCTCTGCAGCTCAGCAATGCTCTTCTGAAAATGCAAACTGCACCCTCAATATACCAGGGAAGTCCTGACAGCACAGAGGCCAGAAGAACTATCACCTCCCTCATTCCGAGCTGTTTGCAAGAGATACATTTTGCCTCTCTGGGTATGAAGACTTTGGGTTCTTGAATTAAATGAATTGATTCAACACTTACTAAAGGCCTGCTTTTCATTGGGACCTCTGCTTAGTACTAGAGATATATACAGATAAAAGATAGCACAGTCTCTGCCTCCAAGAAGCTTTTAATCTAATGGGAGAGTGAAATATGTTCATACCAAAAATATGTTTGAGGATAGTGTCCAGGGGGGATCCAAGTGGCCTGAGAGATCAGAGATATCTCTTCTAGCTTGAAGGATTGAGGGATCTTCCACACGCTAGAGGTCTCACTTGAGCTAAACTTTGAAAAAAAAGGAAAGGATTGAAACATGTAGACAATGTGGTAGTGCGTTCCAGGCTTGGGGCAATAACCTAAGCAAATATACAGAGGTGGGAGAGGACAGGATAGGACTGGGGAGAAGAACATGAACTAAGGAGGTGGGATAGTGAGTCACCCCCATCACCATGAAGCACACAATGCTGGATGTTGCCAAAGTACTGATTAGATTAAAAGTAGGATTAGCAGTAGTGACTCCACCTACCCTAAGGGCAGTTCATTTCTTCTGAAATAGAAATTGTACACCATTTGATTCAGCCTCTTTCCAGTTGTTTTGCCAAAATTCTGCGATGATTGTGTAGGTTGTATGGGTCAAGTCCAATTGTGTTTCTATTCATTAGCTCATTGTCAGGTCGTAGCATGAGATAAGAAAAGACTAGTGACTTGGCCACTTCCCCTGAATAACAGCACATATTCATGTAATTTATGGTTTGCAAAGACCTTTCCACAAACCAAGTTCTTGAGGTAGAGAACAAAAGTATTTTCATAGTATCCCCATTTTACAGACAAAGAAAGTAAAGTTGTCCAGGCTCACATTGAACTTAGACCTTTGACTCTTAAAGCCAATGTTCTTCCCATTATCCCAGGCTTCCTGCTTCCCCACCATTTTCCAGCCACAGCAGTGATACAAGTATGTTTATAAAGCATCTGCATGCCTTTGACCCATTATACACAAGACTTCAGTGGCTTTAATACATAACAGTAATGGATTTCCAAGTGAAAGTAAGAGAAATTAACAATGGCAGTTGTTGTTCCATTGTTTTCAATCATATCTGACTCTTTTGTGACCACATTTGGGATTTTCTTGGCAAAGATACTTTGCCATTTCCATCTCCAGCTCATTTTACAGGTAAGGAAACTGAGATAAACAGGGTCCTACAGCTAGTGCATCTGAGGCCAGATTTGAACTTAGGAAGATAAGTCTTCTTGACTCCAGTTCCAGCACTCTATCCACTGTACCATCTAGCCACCCTGAACATTGACAATACTATAATAGAGTCTCACTAATTTGCGGTAATGATTAGTATGGGAGTAGAAACAATCTATTACTGCCTTAATAAAGAATAGGGCCTGACCTGTGTGATTTCATTATTATAAGGATCTCATGAGTAAGAAAACTCCCACTGTCAATGCAGGTCAACACTTCTGTACTTCAGTCTTCTAGAGATGCCTTGCTAGGCAAAGTTTCGTCTTCTAGGTTGTGACTTGGTCAAGGCCAATTGGTATGTCAGAGGCAGGACTTCCATGCCAGTCCTCCTGGCTTCAAAACCAGCTCTCTAGCCACTACACCATGCTGCCTGTCATTGGCTCAATTACATATCCTTTCACCCTAGTGTATTGTCTCTCCATCCTATTTTTCCCTATTCTTTATCCCAACCCCCAAACCCAACAAAAATATCATGGGAACCAAAAACCTAAAAAGGTCCAAGGTCCCTCAAGATCTGATCTTGCTGTATTTAAGATGCTTTAATATATAAACTTCTAAAGGATGACTATCTGCCACAGATGATATTTAGCATCTGACAGTTCTGAAGAGGTGGATATAAGTGACAATTTACAATTTAATGTTTCATCTTCTCCAACGTCAATGATCTATGTTTAAATAAATCAAGTAGCAAGTTTTGCTATCGCTCCAAGATTTATTCAAGACAAGGGAAGAAGAAAACACTTTAAAGACAGTGGAATAACTGAATTAATAACTTTATTTAAAACCATACAAAGTTATTCAAAGTATACTTAACTGTACACATCACAACTACATTCGTTGACACCAAATGTTTACAACTAATTTTTGTCCACAAGACATACTTACTCAAACAATGTGATCAAACCAAAAGCTGTCTTTTTTAAAGGGATTTAAGTTAGTCACAAAGATCAGTCACATGTGATACTTTCCATCATTTAAGAAAATTTTTGTTTTGTTTTTTTAAAGGAATCAAATCCAGCAGAAGGAATTAGTGTGCAATCATAGCTGTACTAGTTAAATTGGGCACCCTGGAGATCGGGCAGTGTTAATAGAGTATATCAACAATTAGTTGAGAACTAAAAAATAAAGTAGGACATTTTTCACTATACAATAAATACAAAACACAACTATACATTATCATTAGTACACTTATTAAGGAGAGAACAAAATCTAGGTGATTGCTTTGATGGTGACTTTTTGCTATTCCTATGAGATAAGACAAAAAAACCCTGGAGGAAAGAAATGTTCTCCTCAAGAATACGTAATTCTTACAAACAGAATTATCAGAAGCTCACTGAATGAGAAGAAAATATCATCATATTCTAAATGAAGCTTTGTCTTTCACCAAAGTGCCCCAATTGCTCCATTCAGTTTCTCTACAGAAACTTTCTGGGTGGTTCAAAAACAGAAGCTTCTTTAGATATGTATCAGTAATAATAAATCATTACTTTTAAAAATCATTATTCACTTAAAATTTAGGATAGCCACTTGTCTAGCAGTGTATGTACATTGGAACTAGTTTTAAAACAGAAAAAGAGCAAATATATACACTCTGAAAATTTCAACCATCTTTGTGTTTGATCATTCATAAGGCTAAACACCTGTATAAACGTCACATGCTCAACTGCATGGTACCACATTAGGCAAAATGCAGCCACAATATTTTCAGATTCATTTTTTTTTCTAAATGCTTTGATTCCTCCCAAAAAAAAATTTTTTTGTGAATTGTCCACTCTTAAACTGGCACCAACAAACTGATAAATGCCTTATATAACAAATCAAAAAAATCTTCTCCTACCTAGTCAATTGAACCACTAAAAAATATAAGTGTTTAGATCCCAGCCACCTGGGAATGTAAAATTCCAATATATTAAGAGGAATTAAATGTTTAAAAATGTTTCTCTTTTAACATAACCCACTATATAATAGTGAACTAAATGCTTTTGTTTCACAGAAACAACTTACATTTGCCATTTACAAGGCAAATGGTCTATTTACAGATACATCAGGACTGCCTAACTGACAGTGAGTGTTGACTATAGACTTTCAGATCACATGGAGCTAATATGGTGGAGCTCTCTGCTGAACAGACTTCCCCTTCAGGATCCGTCTTATCTGAAAATAAATAAATAAATAAATAAATAAATAAGTGAATGAATGAATGAATGAATGAATGAATGAATAAGCTTCATCAGATCTCTTTGAGGAGACAATGCAACTAAATAACTGGCATTCCTTCCTCATATACCCTGTCTGAGACATGAAGAAGTTAATCTGTAAATTATAAGGGTCCTAGACAGACCTCTGTCCATCCTTTGTATAATAGGGCATTTTTTCTGGCTGTCCCCCATGCCTCAAATTCTCCCCCTAATCCACTCCAACTACTGACCTCCCTGGCTTCCTTTAAGTACCAACTAAAATCCCACCTTCTACAGGAAGCCTTTCCCAACCCCTCTTAATTCCAGTACTCTTTTTATTAATTCCCTCTTTTAATTATTTCCTATTTATCCCACATATAGCTTGCTTTGTATATGTGCAAGGACTGTCTTTTGCTTTTTTTTTTTTATCCCCAGCATTTAGCACAGTGCCTGGCATACAGCAGATACTTAATAAATGTTTATTAGATGAGTGAATGAAGGGTCTAAACCTATTCCCTCCCCATTTTGTTACCTGTTCTCCAACAGGGCCATCTGGAACCAAATGAACCGGCTGTTCATTCTCTAGGTTCCTAGTACTTGGATCAGCTCCCTTCCTCATCAGCAGACGGACTGCATCTAACTGGGTCACTCGATACTGCAGGCTGGCAGCCACATGGAGGGCAGTGTTACCATTATAAGCCTGGAGAAGGAGAAATGAAGTAATCCCTGTCCATCAGCGAGAGGGACTTTTCCCCAGTGCCAACAGCCTTAAGACTTTGACATCAGGCTTGTTCCTACTTGCCAGCTATGCTGAGGAAGCTTTAACAAGTTACCTTAGCGTTCACAAAAGACAGGCAACTGGGCAGCTCCAAAAAGAGGCGTATCAGTTCTAGGTTGGCTTCTTCAGCAGCCAAATGAAGAGCAGTGCGGCCACTTTTACGATCCTAGTCAAAGGGAAGAATGGAAAATCACCAACACATTCACACTGTGAGCCAATTAACAAAAAACCCAACAAACAAAAAAACAGCAACCCACTACTAATCATTCAGAGGAATCCCTTCCATGAAAAACACAACCTTCCCTAGTGGATGACAAAGAAAGACTAAATTTCCATCTCAATTTCAAGAGAAAGTGGGATTTTTGTCTTCCTTTCGATTAAGAATAATCTAATTCAGCACTAAGCAAGTTGGGAGGGAAAGGGAATAGAGAAGTAATGTAAGGTTAAGAGCTAATAAAAAATTTCATAAGGTATTTGTCTACAATTAAAGATACTTTACTGTTTCCCCAATTATTACACTCCTATTAAAAGGAACATTTCATAAGGCTTTGGAAAAATTCATGAAGTTTCGAGTGTTGTAACTAACCGCCTTCTTTTTTCTCTGTCGGAGGCCAAAGGATCATAGACGTTACAGTGGAAACAGAACATAATGAGGCCATAGAATCAAACTTCACACTTCTAACTGAAAAAGGAGGCAACTGAAGCACAACCAACTTGCCCAATCCCCATCCACTTCACCAGGCTGCCTGCCTCTAATCCTAGGCACCTTCCATAAATTTACCTTCGCTTCCACAGTGGCTCCCATCTGGATTAGGCATTTGATTGTGTCAACCAGACTCTTGTTCTTCAGGAGAAGGTCTTGGACTTCAGGTGAGTGATGCTGCTGGTTCCTCTGGAGCTCGTGAACCACAGCATTGTGAGCCACCACTGCACAGTGGAGAGCAGTGAGACCTAGAGAAAGAAATCACAAAATCATGAAGCAGCTATTCATCTGACTTGATATCCAAAATGAACATGGCTATTGGGAAAACATTTCTGGTGCCCAGATACCACGCAAGAGTCTGAAATCTCTCTAAGTACTCATGGTTTGGGGTTTTTTTTTGTCTCACTACAGTAATTAATGATATAAGCCTGGGTTTTAAGGGAATACAAAGTATAACTAGACTCATAGAACGATAAGAGTTGAAACTACAAGTGACCTTAAGCGTCACACAGTCCAGCCCTGTCCTTTTCCAGACTTAGAATTGAGATGTTCTATAAATTATTTGTAAAACTCAATTTCCACATCTGGAAAATAAGAAAGTTCAACTAGATGGCCTATGAATTCCCTTCTAGCTCTACTGTCTATGATGCCTCCTAATAAGTCTCTGGTTTAAAATAAAAAAGGCAACCATTCTGTTGTGGCGGTTCAGTTGTGTTCAACTCTCTGTGACCCCATTTTGGAGGCTTTTTTTGACAAAGATACTGGAGTGATTTGTCATTTCCTTCTCCAGCTAATTTTACCGATAAGGAACTAAGGCAAACAGGGTTAAGCGACTTTGCCAGTCACACAGCTAATAAGTGTCTGAAGCTGGATTTCAACCCTTGAAGATAAGTCTTACTGACTCCAAGCTCAGAATGCTATCACTGTGCCATCTAGTTGCCTCAACCATTCTGCTTAAACCCTAACAAACTGCAGTTGTGGTTACTGTACCTGGCATGCCTTGAAAAAAGGATTATCTGGCTTTCCACTTTCCATATCCTCAGTTATATAATATTTAATAAGCTTAAGGCTTGCCTAAGACTAGCTCCATAAGCCCTGGTCAGCTTTTAACAAGTTTGCAATCACTCACTCACCGTCATAGTTGGTAGCTTCCAGATCTATAAACTGATTGCTACAGATGGCCCCCTTCTGAATTGCCTGCAAAAAAGTTTAAAGAATAGAAGCAAACATTTAATAATGGGCTTTGAAGGGGGGAGGGAGAGTACAAATAAGTGTGTGCTGAACAGCTCAAGTTAACTCTCCAGGTCAACCAAATGACAGGGTCTGGACAGAGTCTGGTCAGGTCAAAAGGAGGGTCCCCAGCTGGGAGAGACGGTGCTAACACAAGTGCTTACACTTCTACCAATCAGGGAACCGTGCCTAGTCCAGACAGAGAGTTTCCTCACCTGAAGGACTTGTGAGTGGCCCTTTTCAGCACAGACATGGAGTGGTGTTCTTCCCCAGCAGTCCGTGGTGTTCACCTGGGCCCCCAGGTTCACCAGGTCTTGCACAATGAGATGCTGATTGGCAGCCACTGCTACCTGAAAGGCACTCTGTGGTCATTCAGAGAGGGAAAAAAAAAGTCAATGTTTGCTTTTCTCATGCAACTACTTTAACAGGAAATATGACTTGAAATAAGAAGCCTCTCCCCATTCCCCAGCCCCAGAAAGTTCTACTAACAGTTCCTGGAGGCAGGAGGGATTGCATTAAACACAGTAGGTGTTTAGTAGATGTTTGTTGATTAATGTATTTAAAGACTAGGAAGTGCTAGTTTTACTGCTCCACAGCTACTCTTTGGCCCAATTAACTTCAAGATAATTCTTATTACTCAAAACCTCAGCTAATGTCCTTGATTGATTTAGGGCTCGTAATGGTAACTGCTCAGAGACCATGTTCTGCATTTAAACCCTCCTTGCCCACCTAGAAGCCTAAGGTTTTCAATGTCTAATTCTAGACCTGACAAGAATCTCACCTGACCATTGTGTTCTTTAACATCCAACATCTGAAGAGCGCTCATCTTCCTTGCAAGAACATAAGACAGGGCCCTTCGTCCCTGGGCAACTGCAATGTGTAGTAACCTGGAGAACAGGAAGAGAAAAAAGATGGAGAATAAATTACTTTAGGTTTCTCAAATTTCTGCCCCTCTATTTTGTAACTGACAGACCTACTCAACTCATCTAAAGCACAACATAAATGGATGGTCCCTTCAGATCTTTTATTAATACCTCCATTAAAATAATGGGCTGGGACACCTAGACAGACTAAGGTAAAGCAAACAACACATGGGCTTTCACACACACACACACAACACACACACACACACTCTACTTAGCTTTTTGCTCTTTAGATGAAGCCTGCACTGGCCTTCCAAATACACATCTATTCAAAGAACACACCTATATTTTAACTATTTTAAAGTAGGCCATGTGATCTGCAGGGACAGCCATCTCTATGGTGGCAGTTTTCCTTTAAAGTAAGCATATTGGGGTAGTTAGCTAACTACTGAAGCAAGGGCATTGAAAGGAGCCCTGAGCTGCCTATTACAAACAATACCATTGCCCAAACTATATGTGTAAAATAAAAAGCTATACTTACGTGTCACCATCCGCATCTTTGGACACAAAGTGGTCCTGGGACAGGTTGGCAAGCTTGTTTTCTTCCTGTTCTACCTGCCACTGAAAGAAGGACTTTCCTAACTGTGTGGTGTTCATCGAATTTCCAGCCACATTCTGGAGTGGCAGGGAAACATTTAAAGGGGTTAAGCCTAGATCCTGCCTACTCACAACATCACAGGCATTGTTTGACCCCAGGTTAAAGTTCTGGATGTTGATCTCACTTGACTGCTGCTGCTGCTGCTGCTGCTGGGCACTGGGTGAAGTCTGAATGGGGACAGCAATATTCTCTGGTTCTCCAGGACCACTTAGGAGAGATGCAAAGCTTTGGGTTGGGCAGAACAGCAGGTCTTGCCCCTCAAATAAGTTTGGTTCATAGGTAGGAGAATGAGGTTTTCCAGAATATGGACTACATTCTGGGACTGAAATGTGACTAAAGGGCTGCTGCAGATCCTGGCTCTGTGGAGAAGAAAACTGATATATATGAGATTGATCCATCACTTGTGGTGAACTGCTGACTTGGAATGGCTGGTGCTTCTGTGGCGGAGTGAGAATCTGCCCTCCATGGAAATCCTGATACTGTTCCCTCGGAGAGCTCTGATTGATAACCCCCGGGCTCATCCAGCTAAACTGAACTGTATTCAGGGAAACGGGATTGGATTCATTTTTAATATTCATAATATTCTGAAGCAGATCAGAATTGTTCTGTTTGGGTTCATTAATATGAACATCTTCCATGCTATCCACAGGAGTTGGAGTTTGGGGTGGTGTCTGGAAAAAAAAAATTACCATATCTGAAATTGGCTCCCTTATCAAAGTATACAGCTAATGGGTAACTTGTCTTACAGGTGAAGATGTGAAATACTTACCAAAAACTGGCTGTGCAATGCTGTAGCTGGCCTTTTGCAAGATGGTCCATCAGAGACAGGATCAGCCCCCTTCCTTTTCCCACTATGTGCCAATATGTTCTTCAACTCTGCTGAGAAAAAGAATTCTAAATGAATTGTTTTAAAACTTTGCTGTGATATAGTCAAAGTCTTTTACTCTTAAGACCCTTCTAGACCATACTACAAAAATCTCTTACCTGTAAACTGCTCTGTAGTCACACTTCGTGCCTACAAGGGGAAATGAAAACACATTCAACTTCCTATCTCTTAAGTTTTAAAGAAATATTAGTGCAAACATTTTTCTCCACCAATGCAAATAACAGCCCCATTTAGGACTTGGTCTTTTTAAAGTTTCTATGACTAAAACATACAATCACATTAGGGCCAACCTGGTAACAAGCCTCTCTAAAACTTAGCTCAGACCAGCTGCTGGAGGACAGAAGATGTGGCAGGACGTGCTTGCTTTTCACTAGCGTGGCCTATAACAAGCCAGGGTCATCTCCACAACACAAGGGGGACTCTATGATGGAAGAGCTTTCAAGTACACTCAGGCACTTCTCAGTACAAATTACTAACCCAGTGCTATAGCATGTAAACATCAGTTCCATTAACACTCACTCTCTACTGCTTTCTCTCCCTTCAAAATAACCTTCTCCATCCCTCACCTTCATCTTAGCCTCAATTCAAGTTTAAAATGAATATGGTTCAATAGCATTTATTTCCAATTTCAAATTTTGCTAACTCACCACAATCCCATTCATCTCAGTACTAGTCTCTCCTCTTCCATGAAAATTCTCTCTAACATGCCACTGGGTGAATCCAGTTAGGAACACAATACGAGCCCAGAATCTATGTCAAAAGCAACAACAACAACCCAGGCATCACCTTGAAATCATCCACAGCTGCAGCAGAAGACTTCTGCTTACTATTTCTTATATGCAACAAGAGTTCCTTCACTGAATTTCTCACACGAACACCTTGAAAGGGTCCTCTCTGTTGCCTTCCACCAGCCATATGGTGTTCACCTGCTCATGAAAAAAAAAGAAACCATATTTGAGTTTATCCAACTTAAAAAACACAAATCTAAATAACTTCTAAGGTTATTAATAAATAACATCTAAGGGGGTACCTAACCAATAGATCAAGACCTACTGGTGTCCCATTTTTTTCTTTTTCTTTTTTTTTGGGGGGGGTAATTGTCTCTTCCAACTGAATTGGCCATTCCCCACTAGGGATTCAGAAAAGCCAACAGACCATGGGGAGACATTCTTCTGGGCTCCTGTGTGAAACCAATAGCTACGGCAAACCACTGGTCTTGATTCAGGGCCTGCCTACTGATTTATCTTGAAGCCATTGCCTGCCATTAAGCCCCCTGACTTCCCAAGGACGCCACAGACAACAAATATTTACTAGCTATGTGACCCTTGGCAAATCTACTGAACTTCTAGTAAGCCTCAGTACCCTCATCTATAAAATGGGAACAATAACAGTTGTCTATTTCACAAGTTTCTTTTGATTTAAAAATCAAATGAGCATTTATTTATATACACACACACACATATAGTATATGTACATGTATGTGTATATGTGTGTATATGTATGTATATGTGTACTATGTATATATACACATACACTTTAAGGCTTGCAAAGTATACACACACACATATACACATCCATATACGTGTGATGTGTATAAATGTTAGCTATTATTATTGTTGTTAGCTCCTGACTCCATACCATCACCATCACACACCACTTCCAAACACACACACACATAATCTCAAAGCTTTGAGGAATAAAAAAATTGCTTTTCTCTCACAAAAATGGGGGGTGATAACCCCAGACCTAAGTTATCTGAGAAACAGCACATCGTGGGTCTCTGCCTCTCAAATCCTAACTCTCTGTAAAACAGGAACAATAAAGTTGGTAAGGATTAAAGCTATTTTATTAGTTAACACTTTGTGGGTTCTTCAAACAAAGGCTATATGTTCTAAAGATTAAAAAGTCTGGCATTTCCACCCTACAAGTCAGGCAAAATAGACATTTTCCAGGGATCTCAATTTACAAAAACCTTAGATTTGTGTCCTAATAATTTTTTTAAAAACACTCTTGAGGATTTCCCCTCCTAAAAATTTTTTTCAGAATCATCTGTTGGTCTTCCTAGTAAAAAGGAAATAAGTTGTTGTTTTGGAACTTGAGCCAAAATGTTAGAAACAGAAGATGAGTTCAGTGTTCCACTTATGACCACTTGTGTCATAACCTCTTAGATCTGTTGTTCATTAAATAAACAAGCAAAAAAGACAGGAAGTGGAACATTTTAGGCACTTGATTTGAAGAAGGGAGAGGGAAAGGGAAAAAAAGAACAGAGGACTGGAAGTGGGTAAATGGAGTTCATGAGATTACTTTGTTAAGCTTTGAAATGCCACAGGAGGTTACACACAAAATCTGATATGAAAAGTTTTAGGGACTAAGGCACACCAAGGCATGGCAGCAGCCAAAATCGGAATAAGAAATAACCGAAAAAGGAAACTATGAAAATGGCTTGACCCAGACATAGTAATGAAAAAGACTCTAAATTCCATAATCCAAAGATTCTTACTCCTCCTATCAGTATTACACTAGCTGAGTAATAGAACTGTATTTGAAGATATCCCAATTTGGATACTGCTGGCCTTTCCACATTCTATTATGGGCCTCAGTTTTCTCATCTGTAAAATGAGGGCACTGAACTAGTTAATCTCCAAGATTCTGTCCTGATATAAATACTATGATCCTACTAGTTAACATAACCATAGTTTATTACAACAAAAATCAACTGAGTGGTTTTAAAGACAAGACTCTCAAACGAAAAATATGCCACATTCAAAAAAATGATAAAGCCAACCAAAAATTTCAATAGACCCAGTGGGGGAGGGAGAGATTGGGGGGGAGGGTAGAATGCCAAAACAAGTTTGTAAGAAACTGACCAGAAATTGTTTTTAAAAGGTTACAAACACTAAGACTGATATGACATCTTTAATTCTCCTAGAAGACATAATTGCCACCTCCTCCTTGCCTCCCTCCTCAAAAAAACCGAAAACTAGTTTCACTTAGAAAACAAAAAGAAAGCTGAACTGATTTATTACTACAGGACTGACAGATAGAGGAAAGCATTCTAGATCAAATTCATAATTAAAAGAAACAGAAGTGTTTAAATCACTGTAAGTCACTCTGTTACTAAGTAACTTAGTAAATCTCACCTTTCAACTGAGCTAGAATATCCCAAATCTGTCACAATTACATCATAAATGGAAATACATCACTGTATTACTTTATAATTTTGTTCTTTATAGTTTTCTAAATGTTGTACTTACATGTTTTTATGGCAATTTAGAAAAACACAAGACCTTCACTGCACAAACCAATCCAGTAAAATTCCTGATCCCTCTCCTATTCTCTCATTGCAGCATCCAAAAAACTGAAAATGACAACTCTGTTAGCTTGGCCAGTCACTTCCCCGCTCATTTCCTGGGCTCAGTTTCCCCCAACTTAGCTGAGGCTAAACTATTACTGATCTCTATCAAAGATGATGCCCACAGCGCACCCCTCCCCTCCACCCCCTCCGCCTCCTCGGCTCTCGGGCCACCCCCGCCCGCGGACGCCCCGCAGAGAAGGGATGCCATCCCAAGGACGCGGGCTACCTTGCACACGGTCCGCGCGGGGGCCCCCTCTGGCCCGGGACTCTCCAGGGGCGCTGCAGGAGGAGGCCGAGGAGACCGAGGAAGAGGAGGAGAAGTCGGAGGAGTCCGAGCCGGGGGAGCCCGGCGTCGAGTGGCTGGACGACAAGAAGCTGGCATCGCTCGGCCCCACGGCCGCGGACGGGGGCGACCCCCCGTAGAAATAGGCCAGGTTGAGGGGGCTGGTCATTAGGCCGCCCTCGCCGGCCGCGCAGTCTAGCAGGCCTTCCCCGCCTCGGCTGTCCTCCTGCAGCTTGTCCACGATCATGCTCGCTGGCAGACCACGCGTCGCTCTGGGTGTGTCCCCCCCACTCGCTCCCCTCCCACGCACTGCCCCCCGCACCAGTGGGCCGAAGGACACAGACTCGGGCTGCGCTGGGGCTGCGCTGGGAGCACGACGCGGCGCACGCTCTCGCACGGGTTAGTTCGGCTGGGCGCGGCGTACAATGCCCCCAGTATATAGACGGGCGGGGGACCCGGGAAGTGGGTGAGGGGCAGCCGGCCCGCCCGGACGAGCCTGCCCATTGGGCGGCCGCGGCGGGACGACAGCCCGGCGGCTCCTCCTCCGGATGCACAGCAGGTTTCCAGTAAAATGTACAGGATGAGGCAATGCTCCCCCTCCGCCCTCATCCCCGGCCCGCCCCGTCGGGGCCCCGCCCAGCCCGGCTCCGCCTGGCCTCGGACGGGTTCCAGCTCCAAGCAGACCTCGGCTTTGACCTCCACCTGGCCCCCGCAGTCCTACACACCGCCCCCTACCTTTACTGCCTATTCACTGCCCTCTCTCCTTTCCCCAGGCTGCAAATGCGCTCCCCTCCCCCAACTTGGCACGAACTCCCAAAGCGGGAACTGGGCAGGGCAGCTTACAGAAGGGTGGGGTGGGAGCCAGCCGGTCCCATTTTCCCTCCTGCAGCCCGGCGGCCCTTGGAGAGGGAAGTCGTGTTCCGCTCGGCCTCTCCCCGGAGTCTTTGGGGCGGGGAGCGAGTCCAACCCTGCCCTCCGCCCGGCGGCCAGAGCTGGGGCACGTTCACGGAGCTCCTGCCCTGCGCTGGGCACTCCCGTGGCCCAGGCTCGGAACAATGCTGCTCCCTCCTCTCCTCTGCCTCAAGTGTTAACTGCCTTCCTCCAAGTCTCAGCTCAAATCCCTCCTGCACCAGGACTCAGTTTCCCGGGTGCTGGGCCTTCCTCATGGAGAACCTTCCAAGCTCCCACCCTTCATCCCCACCCTGAGATTATCTACCAACTACTCAATAAATCTTGCACTTACCTAGTTATTTACTTGCTAACTCTCCCATTAGAAAGTGAATATCTTGGGAGCAGGGACTATTTTGTGTCATAACGCTCAGCCCTGAGTCTAGCACTCGGCAAGAACTTAATAAATGCTTTTTTGTTCAATTGATTGATTGGCATTAGCAACGTCCTTACTTTTGAGGAGTTGACAATCTACCAAGATACGTACAGAAGTGCATCCAATATCGGTATATTGTGTGACAAAGACAAGGAATACGTCCTGGAGGAACCAGAAAAGACAGTCATGGAGAATAAGGCACCTGAACTGGGCCATGGTTAAGAGAAAAAATGTCAGCACCTGGCAATGAAGAGGTAGTGTCCTCAGGCCATTAGAGACAGCATACAGCAATGCATGGAGGGAAAAGGGGACCGAATGAGGTGGAGACCAGCAGAGAAGCTGGCTGTGATGTACAGTGATTAAAGGAAAGAATAATTCAAAATAAAGACTGGAAAGACAAGTTGTTGCCAGATCAGGAAGGACCAGTAATGTCAGGATGAAGAGTTTATATTTGATCCTAGAAGGAATGGGGAGCCACTGACAGCTGTCTTTTTTGTTTTTATTTGTTTTGGGAGGTGGAGGGATGCCACGGTCACAATGTCTAGTACAATAGTCAAAGCCAGAGGTGATGAGGGCCTATGCTAAGGAGGAGGTAGTCCGAATCAAAAAGAAGAAGAAATGTTTGAAAAATGTGAAAATAGAATTAACAGGATTTAGTAATTGACAGGATGAAGAGAAAGGCAATGGAATAAGCCTTTTTAAAGCATCTATGTGTCAGGCACTGTACTAAGCACTTTACAAATATCTCATTTGAGAGGGGGTGGGAGTGGGGGTGGAAGATGGGGGTTGAAAAAGAAAACTTACAAGTTTTGATCCTGGATGACTAAATAAGGAAGATGAACAGGTTAGGGGGAGGGGGAAATGATCAGTTCAATTCTGAACCTACTGAAGTTAGGTTACCAGTAGAACACCCTGGTAGAGCTATCCAGCAACCATGTGGAAATTCAGATTCTAAGTTCCTAGAGGGAAGGGACAGTGTTTTTGATTTGTCTTTATATCCCCACTGACTAGCACAATATCTTGAAAATAGGAGGCATTCAGTAAATATATACCTGATTGGAATGAGAAAGATTGGGGCTGGATGGGAACCATCTTCATAGAAGTGATCACTGAAGTCTTGGGAGCTGATGGGATTATCAAAGGAGAGAGAGACAGAAAGAAAGAGATAAGCAGAAGGAAGGAGAGATGGACCTAAAGGGAAAAGCCAGAGAAAAAAATGAGAATATATACAACAGGGGTTCTGAACATTTTTTGTGTCCTGGACACCTTTGGCAGTCTGGTGAAGCTCTGGACCCCTTCTCAGAACAATTTTTTAAAATAAGTAACTCAAGTTCCCAAAGCCTGCTAGTTTGGGACTCTCTCCTCATTGATGGAGATCAATGCGCAAGCACCCGTGTGAAGGTCATGGTGGAGGTATAGATGGTGAGAGTGGGAGAGAGCGGAGTGAGCCTCTTCAGTCTCTTCCAATGTCTTGATTTTTGGGCTTGTTAGTTGCTTCCAGAACTTCTGGCTTCCAGCTTCAAGAGAGAAGATGGGCAATGCCAACCTGTACTTCTGCCCCACCCTTCATACAGGTGCAGGGCGCTGATCTGCACCAATAAAGAGAGCATCCCTTATTAATGGGCTTTGGGACTCGGCTTACATTCACATACAATCAAATGAATAGGAATATAATAAAAACTTACATTGAAATAGTTGTAAAAAAATTTAAGGTGCACGGACCCCAGTTTAAGAACCCTTATACAGAGAGACAAGGCCCAAGCCTTATGAAATCTTCGTGTTTAGTTTAGAAAAAGAAGGAAAGAGGCAGGAAGGAAGAAAGGAAGGGAGAAAGAAACGAAGGAAGAGAGAAAGGAAGAAGGAAAGGAGGAAGAAAGGAAGGAGGAAAGTGGGAAGGAAGGAAGAAAAGGAGAGAGGGAGTAGGAAACAAAAAAGCATTTATTAAGCACTTACCACGTGCCAAGAACTGGGCTAATCACTGGAGATACAATAGCAAAAAGAAAGTCTCTACCCTCAAAGAGCTAAATTCTAATGAACAGAAAACAACATGCAAAAGGAGGGAAGGAATAAACATTTATTAAGCTCCAACTGTACGCCAGACTTGTGTCCAACACTTTACAAATTCAGATGGAAGGGAAATGAAAGTACTATGGGCAGGACATGGTCTTGAAGTCCAGAAAGTCAGGAGCAAGCCTGGGAGGAGAATAAAGGCATTCAGGCCTAGGCCCTTCTACAAAATGGAGGCTCCAGAAGGAACTTACCAAAGGGAGAAAAAGGAGAGGAGAGACAGGGCAGGGATATTCCAGGGTGAGGTTGTAGGTTACTCCAGGGAAAAGAGGCCCCAGGAGGAGCCTGCAATAGAAGGGGCATGGTTTTCAACAAAGGAACAGGACTAGGAAGAGAATGAAATCCTTGTATTTAGAGAGTGGAAAGAGAATGAAATCAGCAATGTTGGCAGAGGAGGAGTGTCTAGAGATAGGATAAGGCCTAGGAGAGAAAATCTCACAGAAACCAAGAGAAGGGAGAGTATCCAGAAATAGAAAACAGAGTAAAATATAGCCATTAGGAGGTGATTGACAGCAGCTTCAATAGAGCGGTGGGTCAGACTGCAAGAGACTGAAGAGTAAGTCAGTGAATAATGATAAAGTGACAGCAATAATTTGTAAACTATAAAGCATCCTGAAAAAAAAAGTACTGGACTTAAAATCAAACATTCCTGGGTTTGAGTCCCAGTTCTAACATGAGCTAAGTGTATTGGTATGAAGAAATCATTTCACCCACTTCAGTTGCCATATCTGTAAAATGAGGATAAAAATACTTGCACCACAAATTTCTCAAAGTTATTGTGAGAAAAACCCCACATCATAGGACTTGGATGACCCTCATTCCAGCTGTCATGCTACATAACTGTATGGGAAGTGTCTCTTAAAAGAACAGAAGATGATTTTTGCAGGGTAAATATAGGATATCCCAAAAGTCTTACAGTAATTTCAAGCCTTAAAATTGCACTAAGACTTTTGGGACATCCTGTATTTCCTCATTTCTCATGCCCTGCGTCATCCTGCTTTCATGACCACTTCATACCTCCCTACCCCCCAATTCTTGTCCATCTTGGTAAAAATCTGAAATAGATACATGCAAAATACATGTAGTATTGCATAATTTTACTAAGGTACTACAGTAGACTTCAATTTAAATTTCAATAGCATTCATTAAACATATATATTTTGCATTCATCTACTCTTAGCCTAGGAAACAAAACAGGAATTAAAAACCCAGAAAGAAGCCAAATAAGACATACAGTACTTTCATTTTTAATTGTTTTCCCCATTAACACCTTGTATGTAATATAAAAGGCCAATTCAGTCAGTTAGGCTAACCTATTCCTGAACACGAATATTTTCTATAGCAGGGATCTGCTCATCCTCCTCAAAGACCTCCCCACTCCACCGTTAAACAATTCTAATTGTCAGCAAATTTGTCCTTTTATTAAATCTAAATTTGTCTCTTTGCAACCACTGTTCCTAGTTCTGCCTTCTGGGACTAAAGAGGATATGTGTATTCCTCCTCCCATGTGAGATCTCTTCATCTACAGGAAGAAAGCTGTCACATCCCCACTAAATCTCTTTACTCATAGTCAAAGATATTTTTGATATTTAAAATTAACTTCTAAAAAAAAAAAAGAAGATATTTCCCTCCCAAAGTACTAATTGGCTTATCAAAAGGTAGTATCTCAGAACTGTGGCATATGTTGAATTCAACAAAGAAAGAAGAATGTAATCAAAGAAAACTTCAACTTTTTAGCATAAACAGACAAATACATGATAAGAAAAAGAGGTACTTTTTGTTACTCAAAACATTCTAATCAAGGTCCCCTGAGCATTTATTTATGAATGTTAGTTGATATTGATTCAGCAAAGAAAAGCAAATTAGTAAAATATCTGACATCACAGTCTATGTCATGGTTAGCAAAAGATATTTGTACCTTGTAAAAGCTGACTAAATCATCTGTT